CGAAATTCTATTTGTTTAGCCGTAAAACGCAAACAAATGAGGAACGGTCATGGTAGGGCATTGAATATAGTTCCTTAGGTCGTATTTGATGGCCCGAAAAATTGTTAGGCATTCCGGGTCTGGGGAGCCGGGCCCACTCGGAAGGCGTGGGCTATAGCACACGAAAATATGGGAATCAGGCGAAATTCAAGTTTTTTGGCCATAAAACGCAAAAGAACGAGGAACGGTCATGGTGGGGCGGAGACTATGGTTCCTTAGGTTGTATTCTATGGCCCGAAAATAATTTAGGAGATCCGGGTCAGGGGGCCCGGGACCACTCGGAATACGTGGGCGATAGCAAACGAAAATATGAGAATCGGGCGGAATTCCAGTTTTTTGGCCGTAAAATGCAAAACAACTAGGAACGGTCATGGTAGGGCGGAGACTATGGTTCCTTAGGTCGTATTTGATGGCCCGAAAACTTTTTAGGCGATGCGAGTCTAGGGGGCCACGCCCACTCGGAAGGTGTGGGCTATAGCACACGAAAATATGGGAATCGAGCGAAATTCTAGTTTTTTGGCCTTAAAATGCAAAAAACGAGGAACGATCATGGCGGGGTGGTGACTATGGTTCCTTAGGTCATATTTGATGGCCCGGAAACATTTTAGGCGATCTGGGTCAGGGTGGCCGGGACCACTCGGAAGGCGTGGGCTATAGCACACGAAAATATGGGAATCAGGCGGAATTCTAATTTTTTTGACGTAAAATGCAAAAACTATGGAACGATCATGGCGGGGCATTGACTATGGTTCATTAGGTCGTATTTGATGGCCCGGAAAATTTTTAGGCGATCCGGGTCTCGGGGCCGCGCCCACTCGGATGGCGTGGGCTATAACACACGAAAATATGGGAATCAGGCGGAATTCTAATTTTTATGACGTAAAATGCAAAAAATGTGGAACGATCATGGCGGGGCAGTGACTATGGTTCATTAGGTCGTATTTGATGGCCCGGAAAAAATTTAGGCGATCCGGGTCTTAGGGGCCGGGGCCACTCGGAAGGCGTGGGCTATAGCACATGAAAATATGGGAATCAGACGAAATTCTAGTTTTTGGCCCATAAAATGCAAAAGAATGAGGAACGGTCATGGTAGGGCAGAAACTATGGTTCCTTAGGTCATATTCTATGGCCCAAAAATATTTTAGGCGATCCGGGCTAGGGGCCCCGGACCACTCGGAAGGCGTGGGCTATAGCACACGAAAATATGAGAATCGGGAGGAATTCAAGTTGTTTGGCCATAAAACGCAAAAGAACGAGGAACGATCATGGTGGGGTAGAGACTATGGTTCCTTAGTTCGTATTTGATGGCCCGAAAAATTTTTAGGCGATCCGGGTCCGGAGTGACCGGGCCCACTCGGGAGGCGTGGGCTATATGACAGGAAAATATGGGAATCGTGCGGAATTCTATTTTTTTGGCCGTAAAATGCAAACAAATGAGGAACGTTCATGGTGGGGCATTGACTATGGTTCCTTAGGTCCTATGTGATGGCTCGAAAATTTTTTAGGCGATCTGGGTCCGGAGGGCCCGGGCCCACTCGGAAGGCGTGGGCTATAGCAAACGAAAATAAGGGAATCGGGCGGAATTCTAGTTTCTTGGCCGTAAAACACAAAAACAAGGAGGAACGGTCATGGCAGGGCGGTGAATATGGTTCTTTAGGTAGTATTTCATGGCCCGAAAAAGTTTTAGGCGATCGGGGTCCGGGGGGCTCGGGCCCACTCGGAAGGCGTGGGCTATAGCACACGAAAATATAGGAATCGGGCGGAATTCTAGGTTTTTGGACGTAAAATGCAAAAACGAGGAACGATCATGGCAGGGCAGTGACTATGGTTCCTTAGGTCATATTTGATGGCCCGAAAATTTTTTACGCGATCCGGGTCTCGGGGCCGGTCCCACTCGGAAGGCGTGGGCTATAGCACACGAAAATATGGGAATCGGGCAGAATTATAGTTTTTTGGCCGTAAAACACAAAAGAACGAGGAACCGTCATGGTGGGGCGGAGACTATGGTTCCTTAGGTCATATTCTATAGCCCGAAAATATTTTAGGCGATCCGAGTAAGGGGGCCCGAGACCACTCGGAAGGCATGGGCTATAGCAAACGAAAATATGGGAATCGGGCGGAATTCTAGTTTTTTGGCCGTTAAACGCAAAACAACTAGGAACGGTCAAGGCGGGGCGGTAACTATGGTTCCTTAGGTCGTATTTCATGCACCGGAAAACTTTTAGGCGATTTGGGTCCGGTGGGCCCGGGCCCACTCGGAAGGCGTGGCCTAGAGCACACGTAAATATGGGAATCAGGCGGAATTCAAGTTTTTTGGCCATAAAACGCAAAAGAATGAGGAACGGTCATGGTGGGGAGGAGACTATGGTTCCTTAGGTCGTATTTGATGGCCCGGAAAATTTTTAGACGATCTGGGTCTGGGGGACGGGCCCACTCGGAAGGCGTGGGCAATAGCACATAAAAATATGGGAATCGAGCGTAATTCTAGTTTTTTGGCCGTATAACGGAAAAGAACGAGGAACAGTCATGGTGGGGCAGTGACTATGATTCCCTAGGTCGTATTTCATGGCCCGGAAAATTTTTAGGCGATCCGGGTCAGGGCCCACTCGGAAGGCGTGGGCTATAGCACATGAAAATATTGAAATCGGGCGAAATTCTCATTTTTTGGCCGCAAAACGCAAAACAAATGAGGAATGGTCAAGGAAGGGTGGTGACAAAGGTTCCTTAGGTCCTATTCTATGGCCAGAAAAAATTTTAGGCAATCCGGGTCAGGGGGCCCAGGACCACTCGGAAGGCGTGGGCTATAGCACATATAAATATGGAAATCGAGCGTAATTCTTGTTTTTTGGCCGTATAACGCAAAAGAACGAGGAACGGTCATGTTGGGGCAGTGACTATGGTTCCTTAGGTCATATTTCATGGCTCGAAATTTTTTTAGGCGATCGGGGTCCGGGGGCTCGGGCCCACTCGGAAGGCGTGGGCTATAGCACATAAAAATATGGGAATCGTGCGAAATTCTATTGTTTTTGCCGTAAAACGCAAACAAATGAGGAACGGTCATGGTGGGGCATTGACTATCATTCCTTAGGCCGTATTTGATGGCCCGAAAAATTTTTAGGCGATCAGGGTCCGGGGGGCTCGGACCCACTCAGAAGGCGTGGGCAATAGCACACGTAAATATGGGAATCGTGCGTAATTCTAGTTTTTTGGCCGTAAAACGCAAAACAATGAGGAACGGTCATGGAGGGGTGTTGACTATGGTTCCTTAGGTCCTATTGGATTACCCGAAATAATTTTAGGCGCACTCGGAAGGCGTGGGCTATAGCGCACGAAAATATGGGAATCGGGCGGAATTCTAGTTTTTTGGCCTTAAAACGCAAAATATCGATGAACGGTCATAGCGAGGCAGTGAATATGGTCCTTTAGGTCGTATTTGATGGCCAGGAAAATTTTTAGGCGATCAGGGTCCGAAGGCGAGGGCTATAGCACACGAAAATATGGGAATTGTTCGGAATTCTAGTTTTTTAGCCGTTAAACGCAAAATAAATGAGGAACGGTCATGTCGGGGCGGTGACTATGGTTCCTTAGATCCTATTTGATGGCCCAAAATTTTTTTAGGCGATCCGGGTTCGGTGGGCCCGGGCCCACTCGGAAGGCGTGGGCTAGAGCACACGAAAATATGGGAATCGGGCGGAATTCTAGTTTTTTAGCCGTTAAACGCAAAATAAATGAGGAACGGTCATGTCGGGGCGGTGACTATGGTTCCTTAGGTCGTATTTCATGGCCCGTAAAAATTTTAGGCGATCGGGGTCTGAGGGCTCGGGCCCACTCGGAAGGCGTGGGCTAGAGCACACGAAAATATGGGAATCGGGCGGAATTCTAGTATTTTGGCCATAAAACGCAAAAGAACGAGGAACGGTCATGGTGGGGCAGTGACTATGGTTCCTTAGGTCGTATTTCATGGCCCGTAAAAATTTTAGGCGATCGGGGTCTGAGGGCTCGGGCCCACTCGGAAGGCGTGGGCTATAGCACACGAAAATATGGGAATCGTGCGGAATTCTATTTTTTTTGCCGTAAAATGCAAACAACTGAGGAACGGTAATGGTGGGGCACTGACTATGGTTCCTTCGGTCATATTTGATGGCCCGAAAAATTTTTTGGCGATCCGGGTCTGGGGGGCCGGGCCCACTCGCAAGGCGTATAGCACACGCAAATATGGGAATCGGGCGAAATTCTAGTTTTTTGGTCGTAAAATGCAAAAGAACGAGGAACGGTCATGGTAGGGCGGAGACTATGGTTCCTTAGGTCGTATTCTACGGCCCGAAAATAATTTAGGAGATCCGGGTCAGGGGGTCCGGGACCACTCGGAAGGCGTGGGCTAGGAACGGTCAAGGCGGGGTGGTAACTATGGTTCCTTAGGTCGTATTTCATTTCCCGGAAAATTTTTAGGCGATCGGGGTCCGGGGGGCCTCGGCCCACTCAAATGGCGTGGGCTATAGCACAGGTAAATATGGGAATCGTGCAGAATTCTAGTTTTTTTGCCATAAAATGCTAAATAATGAGGAACGGTCATGGCGGGGCGGTGACTGTGGTTCCTTAGGTCCTATTGGATGGTCCAAAATTTTTTTAGGTGATCCGTGTCCTGAGGGCCTGGGCCCACTCGGAAGGCGTGGGCTATAGCACACGAAAATATGGTAATCGGGCATAATTCTATTTTTTTTGCTAAAAAATGCAAAACGATAAACGGTCATAGCAAAGCGGTGAATATGGTCCTTTAGGCCGTATTCGATGGCCCAAAAAACTTTTAGGCGATTCGGGTCTTGGGGCCGGGCCCATTCGGAAGGCGTGGGCTATAGCACACAAAAAATAAAAGACAGATAATGAATTTAAACTAAATATTACTCCATCTATCTCAATTTATACGACACCGCTCAAAGTTATGATTATGAAGAGAGGTCGAGAAGTGAACTTACTCCCAGGGAACATCGCCCACAAGCATCCAGTCCCCATCTTTGTCCTCATATATTGGTACGTACTCTGAACTCTCTGCATCCTCCAACGCTTTGCCTGTCAAAAATTTGGCATCTTATTATTCTGTCTTCTTTATTTCTAAACTTTTTTTCTAGTACTCCTTCCATTTCATATTATGTGGTAAAGTTATTCAGATTACAAGGATCAAATTAATTTATTTTGTATGAATTTAGATATTAACAATTTTTTGCATGGCAAATCTCATAAAGGGTATAGTCCGTTGCACTAAGTTTTCGCTATGTGCGGGGTCCGGGGAAGGGCCGGACCACAATGGTCTATTGTACGCAGTCTTACTCTGCATTTCTGCAAGAAGCTGTTTTCACGGCTCGAAATCGTGACCACCTGGTCACATGGCACAACTTTACCAGTTATGCCAAAATTACCGCAAAATATGAAAAGCAAACTATAGTACTTAGAAAAATGAAGGATTAATTGAGAGAGAACTTACCAATTCCATAACAATCAAAGAGCTTCTCAAGAGCCATGACAAGTTCAGAATATCCTTTGTGAGTGTTCAAATCAAGTTTTCGAAGAAACGGGGCTCCATCCATACTAACTTTGACGTACATTTTAGAGGACGATTCACGTCCATTAAAGCTATTCTTCCTCCTATAAGCACAAACCGGCGGCCACCCTACAACTTGGTTTTTGTTTTGACACTTTGTGTTATCGTTGTTGCTGCTTTTGCTATCGTCGTCGATTTCAAAAAACGCCCTTTTCTTCCCAAATGAGCTAGGTTTTTCCCCTGGAAATATGGGAATCTAGCGAGATTCTAGTTTTGGGTCGTAAAACACAAAAGAATGAGGAACGGTCATGGTGGGGTAGTGACTATGGTTCCTTAGGTCGTATTTCATGGCCCACTCGGAAGGCGTGAGCTATAGCACACGAAAATATGGGAATCGTGTGAACTTCTATTTTATTGGCTGTAAAACACAAACAAATGAGGAACGGTCATGGTGGGGCATTGACTATGGTTCCTTAGGTCGTATTTGATGGCCTGGAAAATTTTTAGGCGATCCGGGTCTGGAGGCCGGGCCCACTCGGAAGGCGTGGGCTAACAAACGAAAATATGGGAATCACGCGGAATTCTAGTTTTTTTGTCGTAAAACAAAAATGAACGAGGAACGGTCATGGTGGGGTGAAGACTATGGTTCCTAAGGTCGTATTCTATACCCCAAAAATAATTTAGGAGATCCGGGTCGGGGGGCCCGGGACCACTCGGAAGGCGTGGGCTATAGCACACAAAAATATGGGAATCGGGTAGAATTCCAGTTTTTTGGCCGTAAAACGCAAAACAACTAGGAACGGTCAAGGCAGGGCGGTAACTAGTGTGCTACGCCTTCCGAGTTGTCCCGTTCCCCCTGAAACCGGATCGCCTAAAATTTTTTCGGGCCATCCAATACGACCTAAGGAACCACAGCCACCGCCTCGCCATGACCTCTCCTCGTTCATTTGTGTTTTGCGGCCAAATAACTAGAATTTTGCACAATTCCCATTTTTTTGTGTGATATAGCCCATGCTTTCCGAGTGTCCCGGGCCCCCCAGAACCGGATCGCCTAAAAATTTTTTGGGCCATCAAATACGACCTAAGGAACCATAGTCACTGCCCCGCCATGACTGTTCCTCGATGTTTTGCATTTTACAGCCAAAAAATAAGAATTTCGCCCGTTTCCCATTTTTTCGTGTGCTATATAGCCCACGCCTTCCGGGTGGTCCTAGGCCCCCCGGACCCGGATCGCCTAAAATTTTATTGGGCCATCAAATATAACCTAAGGAACAATAGTCACCGCCCCTCCATGACCTCCCCTCATTGTTTTGCATTTTACGGCCAAAAAATTACAATTTTGCCGGATTCCCATACTTTCGTGTGCTATTGCCCATGCCTTCCGAGTGGGCCTGGTCCCCTCGGACCCCGATCGCCTAAAATTTTTTCGGGCCATCTAACACGACCTAAGGAACCATAGTCACCGCCCCGCCATAACCGTTCCTCGTTTTTTGCATTTTATGGCCAAAAAAGAAGAATTTCGCCTGGTTCCCATTTTGTCGTGTGCTTTAGCCCACGCTTCCGAGTGGTCCCGGGCCCCCCGGAACCGGATAGCCTAAAATATTTTCGGACAATGAAATACGACCTAAGGAACCATAGTCACCGCCCCACCATGACGATTCCTCATTTTTTTGCATTTTATAGCCAAAAAAACAAAAATTCCGCATGTTTCCCATTTTTTCGTTTGCTATAGCCCACGCCTTCAGAGTGGTCCCAGGCCCCCCGGACTCGTATCGCCTAAAATTTTTTAGGGCTACCAAATACGACCTAAGGAAACATAGTCACCGCCCCGCCATGACCATTTCTTGTTGTTTTACTTTTTACGACCAAAACGTAGAATTTCGCCCGATTTCCATATTTTCGTGTGCTATAGCCCACGCCTTGCGAGTGGGCTCGGGCGCCTCGGACCCGGATCGCCTAAAATTTTCCGGGCCATCAAATATGACCTAAGGACCCATAGTCACCATCCAGCCATGACCGTTCCTCGCTTGTTTTGCGTTTTACGGCCAAAAAACTAGAATTTCGCCCGATTCCCATTTTTTGTGTGCTTTAGCCAACGCCTTCCGAGTGGGCCAGCCCCCCAGGACCTGGATTGTCTAAAAATATTTCAGGCCATCAAATACGTCCTAAGGAACCATAGACACAACCCAGCCATGATTGTTCCTCATTATTTGCATTTTTCGGCCAAAAAATTAGAATTCTGCCCGATTCTCATATTTTCGTGTGCTATATCCCAAGCCTTCCGAGTGGGCCGGGGGCCCTTGACTCGGATCGCCTAAATTCTTATCGGTCCATCAAATACGACCTGAAGAACCATAGTCACCGTCTCACCATGACCGTTCCTCATTGGTTTTGCGTTTTACGGGGAAAACTAAAATTTTGCTAGATTCCCATATTTTCGTGTGCTATAGCCCACGCCTTCCCAGTGGGCAGGGCCCCCCGGACCCGGATCGCCTAACATTTTTCTGGGCCATCAAATACAACGTATGGAATAATAGTTACCGCTCCGCCATGACCTCTCCTCTTTTTTTGCGTTTTATGGTCAACAAACTAGAATTTCGCCCGATTCCCATATTTTCGTGTGCTATAGCCCACGCCTTCTGAGTGGTCCCGGGTCCCTCGGAACCGGGTCGCCCAAAATATTTTTGGGCCATCAAATACGACCTAAGGAACTTTAGTCACCGCCCCGCTATGACCGTTCCTCATTTTTTTTGCATTTTACGGTAAAAAAACTAGAATTCTGCCCGATTCCCATATTTTATTATGCTAATAGCCCACACCTTCCGAGTGGGCAGGGCATCCCCGGACCCGGATCGCCTAAAAATTTTCCGAGCCATCAAATACGACCGAAGGACCCATAGTCACCACCCTGCCATGACTTCTCCTCTTTCATTTGCGTTTTACTGCCAAAAAATAGAATTCTGCACAATTCCCATATTTTCGTGTGCTATAGCCCCCGCCTTCCGAGTGGGTCCAGGCCCCCGGACCCCAATCGCCTAGAAAAATTTTGGGCTATCAAATATGACATAAGGAACCATTTTCACAGCCCCGCCATGACCGTTCCTCGGGTTTGCATTTTACGGCCAAAAAATAAGAATTTCGCCCAATTTCTATATTTTCATGTGCTATAGCCCACGCCTTGCGAGTGGGCCCAGGCTCCTCAGACCTGGATTGTCTAAAAATAATTCAGGCCATCAAATACGTCCTAAGGAACCATAGACACAGCCCTGCCATGATTGTTCCTCATTATTTGCATTTTACGGCCAAAAAATTAGAATTCTGCCCGATTCCCATATTTTCGTGTGGTATATCCCAGGCCTTCCGAGAGGGCCGGGGGCCCTGGAGTTGGATCGCCTAAATTCTTTTCGGTCCATCAAATACGACCTAAAGAACCATAGTCACTGCCTCGTCATGACCGTTCCTCATTGTTTTTGCATTTTACGGCAAAAAAACTAGAATTCCGCCCTAATTCCCATATTTGTGTGTGTAATAGCCCACGCCTTCCGAGTGGGCCTGGACCCCATCACCTAAAATTTTTTCGGGCAACCAAATACGACCTAAGGAGACATAGTCACCGCCTCGCCATGCCCGTTCCTCTTTTTTTGCGTTTTACAGCCAAAAAACTAGAATTCTGCCCCATTCCCATATTTTCGTGTGCTATAGCTCACGCCTTCCCAGTGGGCAGGGCCCCCCGGAACCGGATCGCCTAAAATTTTTCCGAGCCATCAAATACGACCTAAGGAACCATAGTCACCGCCCCTCCATGACCTCTCCTCGTTCATTTGCGTTTTACGACCAAAAAATACAATTCTGCACAATTCCCATATTTTCATGTGCAATAGCCCATGCCTTCCGAGTGGGCCCGGGCCCCCGGACCCAGATCGCCTAAAAATTTTCCGGGCCATCAAATACGACATAAGGAACCATATTCACAGCCTCGCCATGACCGTTCCTCGGTTTTTTGCATTTTACGGCAAAAAAATAAGAATTCCGCTCGATTCCCATTTTTTTGTGTGCTATAGCCCACGCCTTCCGAGTGGTTCCGGGCCCCCCGGAACCGGATCGCCTAATATTTTTTCCCGACCGTCAAATACGACCTAAGGAACCATAGTCACCTCCCTGCCATAACTTCTCCTCGTTCATTTGCGTTATACGGCCAAAAAATAGAATTCTGCACAATTCCCATTTCGTGTACTAAAGCCCACGCCTTCCGAGTGGGCCCGGGCCCCCGGACCTCGATCGCCTACAATTTTTTCGGGCCATCAAATACGACATAAGGAACCATATTCACAGCCCCGCCATGACCGTTCCTCGGTTTTTTGCATTTTATGGCAAAAAAATAAGAATTCCACGTGATTCCCATTTTTTTTGTGCTATAGCCCATGCCTTACGAGTGGTCCCGCCCCCCCGGAACCGGATCACCTAAAATTTTTCCGGGCCATCAAATACGACCTAAGGATCAATAGTCACCACCCCGCCATGACCGTTC